CAGTGAACACTACTAGACCTGGAAATAACGAGTACTCCTTATAACGGCCAAAATGGAGAGGCTCCGACCGAAGGGGGTACTTTTTTGTGCGCCACAGAATCGTGGCAATAAAAATGGATCGAGCACTGACGGTGAAAGATTGCTTTGCCAGTGAGCACTACTAGACATACTGCCAGTATATCTAGGAGGGGTACTGACTATAATTAATGGCCTATGTGAGCGGAGAGGCTCCGCCCGTAAGGAGTACCTTTTTCGGGCTTCAGGTATATAAAAGGGCAGGGATTTCACAAGTTCAGGTAAATGAGAGGTTAGGGAAATTTGTCATGTAGTTACAGTGGAACCTGAGTGAAACCGCGCCTTACGGCTACCCCCGTTAATACAGTCACCTCGTTAATACGTCCACTTTATCCTGGCCTGAACAAAAGTTCAGTCAGTCATTTTCTTATTTAAAGAACCCCTTTAATAGGACCACACCGTTAACACGGCGAGATTTTTATGACCCGTTAGTGACCGGATTAACGGGGTTCCACTGTATTTAAAAAGGCCTTTAATTAAAATGTTTCAAACAGACGCACTTTATGAAGATTTATTCATAAAACAGGCCGATCATGAATCCACGTGAAAGGGTTAGCTTTTTTCAATTAAACGTATAAAGACGTACCTTTTCTGTCAAAATGGTATACAAAAGGGTAAGGGGTTGGACATCGAGGTGGAGGCTCCCCGTAGAAAACTTTGTAAAGTACTCCTCCGGGTATGCTGTCACGTTGCTAGTGTCGGCACCATTTGTCAACCCAGTAAAGTAAAAGTAAACTCATGTTCAGCCGGCTTTGACTTTTTGACCTCGAGATTTGATAGTAAGACACTAACTTGAGGGAACCTCTAGTTTTATTGGGCCGTTGTAAGCACTATTATATCTCAAAATCAAAATCTAATCCAGTTCCTTTCAATTTGCCCAACACTTCTTTCTCAAATCTCTCATCCAGTTCTGGAGGGAAGTAATTGTTCCAGTCCCCGACAACGCCCTTCCGAAGCAAGAAAGACTCGCCAACTTTGGTTGGTAATGGTACTGAGTAACTTGCAGCATTTTTCTTCATTCCACTGAAAGTGCACTGTTCAGCGATGCGACTGATGAGATCATCTGA